GTCATTGCTCCATTCTAATGACCAGACTGGAACTAGACTTGAGTGAAAATATGATATTAAGAATCTCCAGGTGAGCAAATAAGATGGCAATAGCTTAATCTAGTAGCTTCCTGACAAATATTACATAAAATCTTCTTCCTCCATGTAGAGACAGGAAGAAGACGCCTACATGGAGGAGGAGTCAGATGTTCAGGTCACCTGACTTTTGGACGTGTACCCTGACCACACACACGGTGTCGCAATCCGACTGGGAGATTGTGGACCAACGCTGGTGGTGATGCGGGCTGTGTGCCTGTAATGGGCGCAGGGGAAGTGCACCCATTATTTGTCACCAGATATATATCACATTAAAGAGTGACATAAAATGCCTAAAGGGAAACCATAAAGTAATTTTTAATCTCACCCGCTGATATTGTCAGACATTGCTCCGCTCACACACTCAACACAAACGTTCAAAAGCACAACTAAATCTCAGCCTTTACTTTCCTGGGATTCACAGCAGAATTGGTAGCAGTGGGTGATTGTTGTTAATCGCACACATGCAGAAAATAATGGCAAAATGAACCAATGGAAAATATTTGACATGAATATTGGACAATTTGGAAGATTAAATATGAAAGGTGAAAATGTACAATGATAAAATTATTTAACGAGTTTATTTAAGACACAATTTAGTTAATAAGTCATTTACTAAGTTTACATTATGAAAATGGAAACTTAGCAGCCAGACAAGACAGTTACTAAATATGCTTTTGATTGTTGTGATCATTATTATCACCTGGTTGCACTTCCTGTCAGGTCACCATAAAATAATTCCCCAATGAAAGTGGAGGGCGGGGCTTTGGGCGGGTCTAACACTGACCTTCTTTAACTTAAATTTGAGCCGTTATTCTGTCAGAATAGCTGACATGCATTGAAGAAGAAGAAGAAGAAGAAGAATAGCATTTATTGTCATTGAACAGGATTCAACGAAATTTCTATTGCAACTCCCGTGCAAAAAGTCAAAATATACAATATTAAATAAACAAACACACAATAATAATAATATATACAACTAAAATTAACTAAAGGCACTCAACCACACCAAAGAAGAAGCAGCAGGTCCAATTATGGTAAAGTGCAGATGATGTGACAGTGCAAGTGCAATGGCTGTGTGGGGGTGGGGGGTATGTGAGGTTATGATATGTGTGGGAGGAGGCGGCAGGGAGTAATGGCTCTGACGGCTGTGGGGAAGAAACTGTTTCTCAGTCTGTTTGTTGTAGTCTGTATATTCCTGTACCGCTTGCCTGATGGCAGCGGCACAAACAGTCTGTGGCCCGGGTGGCTGGAATCCATGGCTATGGATCCAGCTCTCTTCTTGACCCGGCCTATGTAAATAGAGTCCAGGTCCGGGAGGGGGCATCCCACAATGCCTTGTGCTGTTCTCACCACCCGTGTCAGTTGTTTCCTCTCCAGTGCTGTGCAGCCACCACCACACAGTCACGTTGAGGCAGAGGACGCTCTCGATCGTCGCCCTGTAAAAGTTCAGGAGCAGCCGTGAGGAAAGTCCAGCCCGTCTCAGTTTCCTGAGGAAGAAGAGCCTTTGTTGTGCTTTCTTCACCAGGTGGGAGGTGTTGGTATTCCAGGAGAGGTTAGACGTGATGTGGAGGCCCAGGAACTTGATGTTGTCCACACTCTCTACCTCTTCTCCATCTATGATAAGGGGAGTGTGACCCGTCCTCCTGGACCTTCTGTAGTCCACAATGACCTCCTTGGTCTTCCCTGTGTTCAGCACCAAGTTATTGGCTGAACACCACTGAGTGAGCTGCTGAATTTCCTCTCTGTAGTGGGTCTCGTGTTGTCTGAAATGAGACCCACTACTGTTGTGTCGTCCGCGAACTTGACGACTGTGTTGGTGGGGTGGATGGCAACGCAGTCGTGTGTGAACAGGGTGAAGAGAGCTGGGCTGAGAACACAGCCCTGCGGTGTGCCTGTGTTGAGGACCAGTGGGGACGATGTTGAGCCACCTATTCTCACCACCTGAGGCCTGTTGGTGAGGAAGTCTCTGATCCAGTGGCACAGTGAAGCAGGCAGCCCCACCTGGAGTAGCTTCAGCACCAGCTTGTCTGGGATGACGGTGTTAAATGCTGAGCTGAAGTCTACAAATAGCATCCTGACGTAGGTGTTGGGATGCTGCAGATGGGACAGGGCTGTGTGCAGAGTGATGGAGACAGCATCCTCTGTTGACCGGTTCGCTCTGTAGGCGAACTGAAGGCTGTCCAGGTCTGCAGGGATGAAGTGTCTGATGTACCTCAGAAGAATCCTCTCAAAGCACTTCATGATCACCGGGGTCAGAGCGACGGGCCGGTAATCGTTCAGGCTGGTGATGGTCGTCTTCTTCGGTACAGGGATGATGGTGGAAGACTTGAGACACTCAGGAACCATGGTGAACTGCAGGGACAGATTGAAAATGTCCAGAAACACTCCTGCCAGCTGGTCGGCGCACGTTTTCAGCGTCTGGCCTGACACCTTGTCTGGTCCTGTAGCTTTGTGGGTGTTGATCCTCCTCAGGGTGGACGTCACCTGGTGCTGCTGCAGGACGAGAGGCTGGTACTGCTCTTCCAGTCGGGGTAGATGTACAGCTTCTCTGCTGCCCACTGTGTCAAAGCGGGCAAAGAAGCTGTTTAAGGTGTCAGGCAGGGTGGGGTCGCGGCTGGTCAGCTGAGTGCTGTGTTTGTAGTCCGTCATGGTCCTGATGCCTCTCCACATGCTTCGGGGGTTGTTGTTGATGAAGTGTTCCTCAATCTGCTGTTTGTACTGGAGCTTGGCCTGCTTAATTCCTTTTTTCAGTTCCGACCGGGCCCTGCTATAAGCCAACCTGTCTCCAGATCTGTAGGCAGCATCCCGGGCTTTCAGCAGGGCCCGTACTGTGCTGTCCAGCCATGGTTTCTGGTTTGGAAACACTTTTATGGTCTTAACGGGAGGACAGCATCGGTGCAGAACTGAACATAGGACAGAACGGACGATGAGTATTCCTCCAAGTCTGCTCCGTCCCTGAACACACTCCAGTCTGTGTGCTCAAAGCAGTCCTGAAGTGCAGAGGAGGCCTCCTCAGTCCAGACCTGAACTATTCTGGTGGTCGGCTTAGTTCTGCAGGCCAGAGGCTTGTAGACAGGAATCAGCTCCACTGAGATGTGGTCAGACATGCCCAGATGTGGACCTGCTACAGCCTTGTAGGCTCCGGGGGTATTGCAGTAAACCTGATCCAAAATGTTATTGTCTCTGGTGGGAAAGTTTATGAACTTGTGGAATTTGGGAAACACAGCCTTCAGTTCCACGTGGTTAAAGTCCCCCGCCACAATCATGGCCGCCTCCGGGTTGGAGTTCATCTGCCCGCTGATCAGGCAGTATAGCTCCTCTAATGCTAACTTAGCATTAGCCCGCGGTGGTATGTAGACGGCCACGATCACAATGGACGAGAGTTCTCTCACCAACTTGAAGGGTCTGCATTTCACCGCCAGATATTCCAAGTCAGGAGAGCAGAATGTGCCGACAGAGTGTGTGGCTGTACACCAGGCATTGTGTACATACAATGCCAAACCTCCGCCTCTGCTCTTACCCGAAGCTGCCGTCCGATCCGCCCGGAACAGAGCGCGCCCCGTTATCTCCACCGCTGAGTCTGGGATGTTTCATCCAGCCAGGTCTCTGTGACAACAGTCACACAGCTGTCCATCCGGCGAGAGATAATTCGGAGTCGCACCTCGTCGATTTTGTTGACGAGGGACCTGGCGTTGGCGAGGAAGAGGCTGGGGAGGGCCGGTCTGTGAGGGTTAGCTTGTAGCCTTGCACGCACGCCGGCTCTCTTGCCCCTCTTTTGTTTGCGCTGCCTCCTCCGTCGCCTTCTGCAGCAGGGGGGGAATGATCATAGTTCCAGGTGTTCGAAGCAGCTCTGGAGGAATAAAGTCCAGCTTGGTGGGTGTGTGAAGTCCAAACTGTGCCCCTATGTTCCACAGTTCTGATCTGCTATAAGTTGTCAAGGCTTCCAGTAGTGTGTTGAGCGAAGACATCAATAAAAACAGGCTAACAAAAACGAAAACACGGGAGCTCCGAGCCGCTGCGTCTACACGCGCCGCCATCTTAGGGTGGGAAAAGTGCTCACCACTTTCACTTCAGTGCCGCTAAATAGTGAACCATTTATAGTGAAACGATACACAGACCGGCAGCTTGTGCTCATTAAATGTGTGCAGCGATACGCTCCTATTTCATAAGATCTTGTTCTGTTTAGATATTTTGCATTTTAATTTATGCAATAAGTGAACCATTTATAGTGAAACGATACACAGATACAAAGAAGGCTGACAGGAATGTAGTAAGAAAGACATTCAACAAATATTGTCTGATCCGGGAATCAAACCCTTGACGGCCGTGTGGAGGATTGAAGGCCTCCAATCGTGGGTTGCGCTACCACAACACGACCCCTGATGAAGAACATTTTCATTTTAGTTTTTGTTAAACTGAAGGGTTCATTGTGTGACCTCATATTTTGACTTTTTTGTCCAGATCTCCCACAATGCAGTGTGTGCAAAGAGGAGGAGGATCTAAATGAGCTCAGAAACCCGGAGAGAAACTTCACTTCAGATCAAGATCATCCAGAACCTCTGCAGATGAAACTGGAACAACAGGAACCAGAACCTCTGCAGATGAAACGGGATCAAGAGGAACCAGAACCTCTGCAGATGAAACGGGATCAAGAGGAACCAGAACCTCTGCAGATGAAACGGGATCAAGAGGAACCAGAACCTCTGCAGATGAAACGAGAACAAGAGGAACCAGAACCTCTGCAGATCAAAGAGGAAGAGGAGCAAACTTTCCATCAGTCAGGATGAAGAGCATCTTGTGATGAAACAGGAAACTGATGACATTTTGAACAAACAGCAGAAAAACTCAACAGGGACTTCGGAACAAGAAACGAACATGAAAGCTCAACCAGACCAAAATCTATATTCTTGTAAAATTGTGATGAAACCTTTTCTCAAAATAATTCCTTGATGAATCACATGAAAAGTCACACGGCTAAGAAACCTTTCAAATGTTCCACCTGTGGAAAAATTTACCCTTACAAGAGTCGTTTAAATGATCACATGAGAATTCATACAGGTGAAAAACCTTTCTCCTGTGAGACTTGTGGAAAAAGTTTCCAGAGGAAATCTCGGTTAGTTAATCACATCAGAATTCACACGGGTGAGAAACCTTTCTCATGTGAGACCTGTGGGAAAAGTTTCCGGAGTAAACATAAATTAGTTAATCACATCAGAATTCACACGGGTGAGAAACTTTTCTCATGTGAGACCTGTGGAAAAAGTTTCACTCAAATGCAAAGTTTAACTGTTCACATTAGATCTCACACAGGTGAGAAACCTTTCTCATGTGGGATTTGTGGAAAAAGTTTCACTCAAAAACACAACTTAACTTCTCACAACAGAATTCACACAGGTGAGAAGCCATTCTCATGTGAGGCCTGCGGAAAATGTTTCCCTCATAAAAAAAGTTTAACTGTTCACATGAGATCTCACACATGTGAGAAACCTTTCTCATGTGGGATTTGTGGAAAAGGTTTCACTCACAAACACAACTTAACTTCTCACAACAGAATTCACACAGGTGAGAAGTAGCTGTGCATTGATTTATCATCTGGCTGATTAATAAATGTTGATTTCCTTAATTTTGGGACATTGTGAGCAGCAGATACATGCATGTGAAGCTGATCTGATTCCTCGATGTTATTGACCTCAGCCACTGTTCTGTTCTCCGCTTTGAGGTTTGACTATTAGACCAGCTCACCATGTCATGTCTGCACCCTTAGTGAAAAGCGAGGAAAATGTTTTGTGTATAGATCCAGTTTAAGTCATCACATGAAGATTCACACGGGTTGGAAGCTTTTATTTTGTAGATCAGTAGAAAAGGTTCACTCTAAATAAATGTAACTGTTCACATGAGAACTTGCACAGGTTTGATGGCACAATGTGAACCTCAAGATTCTCAGTAAGTTGCTGTTTGGAAGTGGAGTAATTGCAACCGACTTAAATTCTTAAATGTAGCAGGTTTTGCTTACAAAGCATTTTAATCTGGATATTTAGCTGAAATTCGTAAAAAATTTATTCTTCCAGTTTTATATTTCCATTTTATTGAATGAGACTGAGGGAGAGATCGTCTAACAATGAGTTTGAATGCTTTGAGATTAGACTTCTGAAATTTTGGAGTCTTTATTGTGTTTTTATCCTTTGTACATATTTTTATTTTAATGATTTGGAGAAACGGATGCATTTCTTTGACATGGTTTTAAATAAATTTTCTCCTTACAAAATGGTTTGATGATGTGGATTGAATTCAGATAAAAAAAAATCATTGAAACTTTTTCTATAATTTTAGATGATAAAGTATCATAATGATGGTCTTTTCTATTTTTCTGTTTACTCAAAGACTGTGACAGAATCGATTTACATAAACATAGAGACTGAATAAAACCTTTTTTAAAACAAAAAGTAAATCAGGAAAACCTTCATATAAAACAGTTAACTTCTCCATGTCATTAATTTGATTTCAGCACCTCTGAGATCTAGAATTATAAGGCTGAGATATCAAGGTAAACAAAGAGAACCCAGTAGCTGCTGGTAGGGGCCCTCCAGACATTATTACAAAATATAAATAGAAACTGGTTTTATAACTTCAACATCAGACCTATGTTTTTATTCACAAGTGTACGTTAGAAAAATTAATTATTGCCCAAATTTGACCGCTAGAGGTCACAGTTCAGCCCCGCTCTTCCTCGCCACGGACCCGGTGTCTGAACAACGTGGAGGCAGAAGGACTGGGAATCCTCATAATTAGACCAAGGGCAGCCAGACTCATTAGTTTTGCTAGGTGTTATATTTAGAGGCACAAGAAGGCCTCCTGACACAAAAGACTCAAGTTGAAAACAAAAATAAACTCAAAAAGGGCTCTGGGGGCATCAAGGGTAAAAGGGGCAGGGCTCAAGCCCTCTCCAGACCCCCTCTGCATGTGCCTGCATATGAATGTTTGTCTTTCTAAGTTACCATCCAATAAAATATCTGAAAATACAATTTAAACGATGTTAGAAAAGTGGCTCTGCAAACTCCGGCATTATTACTTCCTGCACCTCCTGGTTTTAGCTGTAGATTGTTGATCCACTTTTCTATTTGTTAGGTGAGTTTTTTGTAAATTAACTTCTTGTGACCGACTACCTTCAAAACACAAAGATAAAGTTTTTCTTTCTCTCTTTTAGAATGGTTGGAACAACCACACATGGCACAGACTTAAGACATTTTGATGTTTAAGTCAAAATGCCTAAATGTGCTGCATTTACTTTCTGACCCCCACCTCCATGGTAAGGCATCGGTGCTACATCATCTGAAACCCAGCAATTTATGGGAAAAAAGAATAATACACTGCCTTAAAATGTAAAATACTTTATTTCAAGTCATACATGTAAAAGTCAACAATGTAAAAGCTGAACTCAATAACTACATGACACAGAACTGCAAGACACCTGAAATCCACAGAAATTAAAGCTTCCTGAAGACATTCCCCTCTTTAACTTCAGTATCTAATGGGACACTGATGGGAACCTTAAGTACAAATGTGACTGAGAAATAAAACAAAAAACTGATTTTAGAAAAACAAAGCTGGTAGACAAAAATGGACCTCAAGTCTATCTTAGTACAAGACATTCAGAGCATCGACTTGGCTTTGGATGAATGGATATTTTTGTGCAGAATTGGCATGGATTTAATTTATAAGTAAAGGTAAGATGGGGAAAAAAAACATGTTTTTTAGTTTTTTTAATGAAATGTGCATTTTGTGGGCCACAGTCTGTATGTCTAAAGAATTCAGTAAAGTAGAAATGTTAGCTAATCTACCACAGCAATGATTTATTAATAAAACACTAAGACTAAAACAAACTACTGCAAAAAACTCAATGTTCTGTTCTGTGACCAAAATTCTTTATTTTTATGTTAAATCCTAAAACATGGCATTGTTATCAGTTGCTATTGCAACGAGTCTGCATGTAGCTTGGGTGATGCAGAGTGAGAAAGTGGTTTAGGTTTCTCCCTTTGCTGTGGATCATAACACAAAACAATACCTACATTTCTAAGTTTCACCTGGTTACTACAGCTATGGATGACGTGTAAAAGAACGGTCTTTCTGCCCTCCAGCGTTGTATGCATGAGCAAAATTTCTGAGTAACCAATAACATACATGGTGTCTGTATTTATACATCGTAAAGCCTCACCGCACGTCACTGTTTCGCATCCATATGAATCTTTATGTGTTTAAGTAATTGTTGTTTCATCCTGAAACTGTCCACAGGTCCCACATGAGAAAGGCTTCTCACCTGTATGAATTCTCATATGCCGAGTTAAAGTCCCTCTGTCACTGAAACTCTTTCCACACGTCTCACACCAGAAAGGCTTCTCACCTGTGTGAATTCTCATATGCTGAGTTAAAGTCCCTCTGACACTGAAACTCTTTCCACAGTTTGAACAAGTGAAAGGCTTCTCACCTGTGTGAATTCTCATATGTTTAGTTAAAGTCCCTCTGTCACTGAAACTCTTTCCACAGGTTGAACAAGTGAAAGGCCTCTCACCTGTGTGAATTCTCATATGCCGAGTTAAAATCGTTTTTTGTCTGTAACTCTTGCCACAGGTCCCACAAGTGAAAGGATTCTCACCTGTGTGAATTCTCATATGCTGAGTTAAAGTCCCTCTGTCACTGAAACTCTTTCCACAGGTTGAACAAGTGAAAGGCCTCTCACCTGTGTGAATTCTCATATGCCTAGTTAAATTCGATTTTACACTGAAACTCTTTCCACAGGTTGAACAAGTGAAAGGTTTTACTCCTGTGTGAGTTCTCGTGTGTCTTCAAATTACTGTTTAGAGAAAAGGTTCTATCAGAAATTTTACAAGAATATATGTTTTGCCCTCTATGAGTTTTCTTCTGCGGTTTTTGTTTCTCAGCATCAGTTCTGTCTTTCTGCTGTTTGGTTTTCTCATATCTCTCCTTTGGTTTATGTTCTTCCTTTCTCTTTTTTCCTGGGTCTTCAGAATTGCTTCCTTCCTGATCCTGGTTCTCAGTTTCTGCAGAGCCATGAGAGATGAGTTGGTTCCTCTGTGGTTTTGTGTCATTGAGAATCTCCTCTTCTTCACACACACAACATTGTGGAAGATCTGGGAAATAGACAAAAAAAAGTTTTTTAAATGTCAATCAAACAAGAAATCCACTTTGATGCCTTCATGTATAGAAACAAGATTTTCTTAGGTTATTCGAAAATTACAATCTTACAAGAATGAACATTAACTCAACTAAGAAGTTAACGTTCTATGTTCTAGAACATAGGATGTTCTAGAATGGAACTATGACCAGAACTAGTTTCATTCTGGTCATTGCTCCATTCTAATGACCAGACTGGAACTATTCTTGAGTCAAAATATGATATAAAGGATCTCCAGGTGAGCAAATAAGATGGCAATAGCTTAATCTAGTAGCTTCCTGACAAATATTACATAAAATCTTCTTCCTCCATGTAGAGAGAGGAAGAAGACGCCTACATGGAGGAGGAGTCAGATGTTCAGGTCACCTGAGTTTTGGACTTGTACCCTGACCACACACACGGTGTCGCAATCCGACTGGGAGATTGTGGACCAACGCTGGTGGTGATGCGGGCTGTGTGCCTGTAATGGGCGCAGGGGAAGTGCACCCATTATATGTCACCAGATATATATCACATTAAAGAGTGACATAAAATGCCTAAAGGGAAACCATAAAGTAATTTTTAATCTCACCCGCTGATATTGTCAGACATTGCTCCGCTCACACACTCAACACAAACGTTCAAAAGCACAACTAAATCTCAGCCTTTACTTTCCTGGGATTCACAGCAGAATTGGTAGCAGTGGGTGATTGTTGTTAATCGCACACATGCAGAAAATAATTATGAAAATGAACCAATTGGAAATATTTGACATAAATATTGGACAATTTGGAAGATTAAATATGAAAGGTGAAAATGTACAATGATAAAATTATTTAACGAGTTTATTTAAGACACAATTTAGTTAATAAGTCATTTACCAAGTTTACACAGAGAGAACGACGAACTGTTGGAGGAGTTCTGTGAGGAACTACCTCAGGTCTCTGCGGAGACCAACCTGGAGTTGGAACGGCCTCTGAGCCTGCAGGAACTACACACAGCCCTCCTTGGCATGAAGGGTCGGAAGTCTCCAGGCGTTGACGGGCTCACGGTCGAGTTCTACAAGGCCTATTGGGAGCTTCTGGCCCAAGACGTGCTCGACGTATTCAACGAGAGTCTGTCTACCGGTTCGCTCCCCTTGTCTTGCCGCAGGGCAGTTATCACCCTGCTGCCTAAGAAGGGAAACTTGCAAGAGATTAAGAACTGGCGCCCCGTGTCCCTCCTTTGTACAGATTATAAAATCCTCTCCAAGGCCCTGGCCACTAGGCTAGGGAAAGCCATGGAGCAGGTCATCCACCGGGATCAGACCTATTGCGTCCCCGGCAGGTCCATGGTGGACAATGTCTACCTAATTCGGGATATTTTGGAAGTCTCCGGTTCATTGGGTCTACAGACAGGCTTGAT